TAATGATGTGTATTGCCCAGATACAGGGAGAGGGACTGTTGTAAATAAATGCCTTGTGATCAATGTCATTTGGTCTTGTTACTTACATAGAACTTGGGAATATTTAAGTGTCTGGCCATTAAATATTTCAGGGTGGGGGTGGGTGTGCTTAGGTCTACCTCATCTTGGTTTGTTTGTTAGTTGTTTTACGCCACACTCATCAATATTCCAGCTATATGGTGGCAGTCTGTATCTATAAAACCAAACAGTCCAGTAATCAACAGCATGAGCATCGATCTATGAAACTGGGATCCGATGACGATGTCTAAGCAAGTCAGCGAGCCTGATATGTCTTTGAAATAAAATTCATTTGGATTTTGGATTTGAAATGTTTATTAAAGCAGACTTGTTCTCGTCAAAAATGCCGATGTGACGTAAAGCCTAACTCAACTCAACTCATTAGTTGCCTTATATGACAAGATTGGGTTGCTGAAGTCCTGTTCTAACTTGGATCTTCACGATATTTTAATTTTTTTTTATAAACTACTGGCATAACAAATTAAGTTAATTAATATAATATTGAGAGATTCAGCTTTTTTGAGTGGGGGTGGGGCTGTGGGGTAGCCTAGTTGTTAAAGCGTTCACATGTCAAGCCGAAGGCCCAGGTTCGATTTCCTACATGGGCACAATGTGTGAAGCCCATTTCTGGTGTGACCCGCCGTGATATTACTGGAATTTTGCTAAAAGCGGCGTAAAACCATTTTCACTCACTCACTCACTCTTCTCAGTGGTGTATATGCTGAAAGAAACAAATAAGGGAACATTTTTATCACAGCGTTCCTTCTGTTCTCAGATTTTCACCCTCGGTGCTGCAAAAACATGGTTAGAGCATCGCTTGCACTTCCATATGTTCCCTTATTTGTTTCCTTCAGTAGATATATTTGTTTTCATCGTGTTCAAGACATCTTTGTTCATTAATTGTTGGCGGGGCGATTCACGTGAAGCATGAATGTTTAATACAACTTGGAATCTGGTGCATTTCATCATGTGGAGAGAGAAGGGAGCTCACTCAGCGATTTTCGGCATCTGTTTGGGGACCTCGGGATGTAGGGTGTTTCATACGAGTCAGATGTTGATGAAAAGCAAATAATTAATTCATTACGCCTCTGTGGTACCGTCAGTTGCTGTTGAACATCACGCCAAGCTAGATGATAACTCGGAGTTGCAGACACTTCCACTTACAAATGTCAAAACTAACATTGTAGCCATCATCCTTCCTAACTTAGTTCAAGGAATATCAATAACGCTGTTTTGTTTACAACTTGAGAAATTGTAATTGCTCGCCATATCATTATGACTGTGTCAAGATGAGTATTGTTTATTTTATTGCATTACAGAAACTGACATTTCTCATGTTGAAAGGATATTCCTGAAGGCTTTAGCAGATTTAAGAAAGTTCTGTGAAATTATATATGGAAAGTACATCCCCAGTCAGAAGATGAAAGGACATTGTTTCAGGCTTTATATTTGTGGTTAGTTTTATTAAATGGAAACAAGAGAAAAACTGATCACAGACGATTTTATGATGGCTGTTCATAAGAAATGGTGAAAAATAAAAGCGGGCAAATATTTATTGTTCTGAAAAAAATCTGTATTGTCTTTCGGTATCTTTTCATAATTGTACTTAAAGGACTGTGAAATTTTTAAATTTGTGTTTTGTTCCTTAGAACCCACATAATTTAACAACTATTTTTCTAAAGTAAGTGCAAAATATAATTGGCCCTATGATGATTGATTAAAGGATTTGGTTTTAAATAATCCAGAATTTGGGGAACTGAACTAAACTAAACTAAATATATTTTCACTCTCTTCAAGGAGATGATCTGAGGCTGCTATGAATAATTTGATTGCAATTTGTCATCAACTCATCTCTTTACTTTTCTATAACGCTGCCATATAGCTTGAAGATTGCTGAGTGTGGCATAAAACTAGACTCACTCACTTTTCTATAAATTCTAATGACTAGTATTTTGGTTGCCATGGAAACATTTAATCATCCACACATTGGAAATGTATTATTTCAGAATCCTGTGATCTCTTTTCACTCTTGGCCCTGTAAAATAACTTTTATACTCCCCAAATTTAAAGTCTTACTATGGTAGTTCTAAATAGGATGACGGTCGGTGGGGTAGGTTAGTGGTTAAAGCGTTTGCTTGTCACTCCAAAGACCCGGGTTTGATTCCCCACATGGGTACAATGTGTGAAGCCCATTTCTGGTGTCCCCCGCCGTGATGTTGCTAGAATATTGCTAAAAGCAGTGTAAAACTAACTCACTCACTGACTAAATACGGTGGGGATGGTTTGGTCTTTGATGGCGCCACAAGTCATATGCCATAGTGCCCTGAAACACACGGGACATTGCTCATTATATCAGCCACAGGTTTAATCAGCCCTGCATTGTTTGCATACTTTACCTACATTGGGGTAGCCTAGTGGTTAAAGTGTTCACTCATCACGTCAAAGACCAAGGTTCAATATTCCCCACATGGGTACAATGTGTGAAGCCCATTTCTGGTGTCCCCCACCTTGATATTGCTGGAATATTGCTAAAAGCAGCGTAAAACTCACTCACTCACTCACTCACTCACTCATGACATTGCTGGAATATTACAGACCGCAGCATCAAACAAGATTCATTATCAATTTGTATTAGTACTGATCAACCTCCCCTTGACTAGATTGCGTGAGATATCCATGGTTTATGAGTGTTTCAGCATTATTTCACTATCGGCTTTATCGTTGATCAGGTAACAAAGGATAGACGTCATACACTGTAACCAGTGGGGAACTCCAGGATTTGTCACTGGCTTAAAGAGTGAAATACTTTAACAATAGCAATCCCCCTGCCCTTCAGACAAGACGAAATGCCTTGATTTGTAATTTGATTTGGTCTTGACCATTATTTTTGTATGTCTTTGCCACATTGTTGTAAATGGCGTACAAATATGTTCAATAGACATCAACCACTGCAACATGAAAATAATTGTATTTTCATCAAGTTAGATAAGAGTACATAGCCGATTTCTCCACCAAAGCTAATAATGAACACTCCACCACTGGTGCCAAGATGTCCTGTTGAGGTGATACGGCAGTCCAAGAACGACCGTATTTGGGCAGAAGCCAAGTCAGGTGGTCTCTCCCAGGATCCATGATGAAATTAGACCTCGAGAACTTATATTGTTACGTTTCCTATATTATTGATGAGGGGACTCTTCTATATGTGCGGCTTGGCAAGTTTGTGCTACAGCATATGCCAAAACATTCCATGATTTATGAATGAAACACCCAATGCAGGGACCCTGGTGTAGAGGCCTCTCAACAAGTACCAGCCCTTCACAGCAGTGTACATCCATGCTATGAAAATGTGTATATGATGTACAGAGAATGGATCTGCAACAGTGTCGGCAGTTGGCTTATTTAACTAGAAATGTAAAGTCGTGGATTTCGTCTAGTATTTACAAATAATGTCATAATGTTGTATGACAGTGAAAATGGTTTTAGGATGCGTAATTAAGTTGAGGTCACTCAAACCAGTGGCCGATAGCAGGAGCAACTCAACACTGTTCTTGTGACTGCGACTGTCAATCAGGTCACATTGTTCATGTGCACATTGATAAACAGTCAGTCAGGTCACATTGTTCATGTGCACATTGATAAACAGTCAGTCAATCTGGTCACATTGTTCATGTGCACATTGATAAACAGTCAATCAGGTTATATTGACCATGTGCACATTGATAAACAGTCAGATCAGGTCACATTGTTTATGTGCACATTGATAAACAGTCAATCAGGTCACATTGTTCATGTGCACATTGATAAACAGTCAATCAGGTCACATTGTTCATGTGCACATTGATAAACAGTCAATCAGGTCACATTGTTCATGTGCACATTGATAAACAGTCAATCAGGTCACATTGTTCATGTACACAGTGAATGACCACGGAGATAAGTAATTAATGCTCAGTCACCTCCCTTATGTGCATGCACATTCCTACTTTCTGTCAACAGTATCCGGATGTAAAAGATGGCCATGTGGTTAGCAATTATCACTAACACCTTGTTTTGTTCTATTTATGATGTTCAGTTTATGCAATGAGGTTTCAGATTGCTTCTGAATTAAAATTTGGAATTATACAGTATATTGCAGAGATGCCAACCACTCCAATTCTGGCGGAGTTACTCTGATTTTCAAATACAAAATCCGCTCTCCGATTTGTCTTTAAAAAACTCCCGATTTTTTCAGAAAAAAAATCTAAATATTTGTTATGGTATACAATTTCATAAGTCACCGGTGATTTATTTAAATCAACACTGGTTAAATAATTCAGAAGCTTAGCGTGTGATCTTTAGGGTCTTGGTTGTGTATATTGCGTGTTATTGACGGCAAAGTTTCATGAAGTTTTTCCGAATGCATGTCATAGCCCGTATGTAAGTGAAACAAAATGGTGGAGCTGACCACTGCTCGGGCCTGACTCCAGCCAGTCATGACTCCGCCTTCATTAGATTCAAGGTTGGCACCTCTGATATTGTGATACATCACCCAACATGGCAATGTGTATCACAATATACTGAACCTCCAATACCCATTCCTATTTGGAACTGTGTTTATACCCAGGTGAGCAGACCCGTGAAGATCAAGGTTAGAATTCATCTTCAGTAACCCATGCTTGTCATAAGAGGCGACTAATGGGATCGGGTGGTCAGGCATGCTGACTTGGTTGACTCACGTCATTGTATCCCAATTGCATAGATCGATACTCATGCTGTTGATCACTGGATTGTCTGGTCCAGACTTGATTATTTACAGACTGCTGCCATATAGCTGAAATATTGCTGAGTGTGGCATTAAACAATTTTGAACTGTGTTTATAACCAGGTGAGCTACAGAACGGTGTTTAGGTTTACATCACTGTCACAACTTATACATACATATTTTAACCTTTGCCATGTTTCAGCTTCTATTGGAGCACCTCGAGTGCCTTGTCTCTCTCGTCACGAGCGGTCACTCAGGATGACCGTCGTCAAGCGACAAGCGTCTTCTCCAGCAGGAGTCTCCAGCGAGGTCGAGGTGCTCAAGGCTCTCAAGTCTCTGTTCGAACATCATAAAGCCTTAGATGAAAAAGTGAGTACATGTTTTTTGTTGTTACCGCAGGTGCAACCAGAGTTTCAAAGTTAAGGTGTTTGTTGAGAGTCGGTATAGTTTTTTTGCTGGAATATTGGAATCCAGGGATCCCTTGTTCAGTTAACATAGAGGTCATTGTAGGACCAAATGGTGCATGAAGGTTCTTGACAGATCCATGTAAGTGCCAAAACGTTGAATTTTGGCTTGATGTTGTTTTTCATTTTCAGATCATTTCCATTTTTGCAGATTGTATGTGCACTGAAATTCAGAGACCATGATTTTTGGGGGGATTTTTGTGTTTGTTTGTTTTGTACATAGCATACAGAACCTGTCTTAAGATTGAACACACAATCCAGAAATTAATTTTGAACCAAGTACACAGCCTAGATTGATCAGTCAAATCAAAGAATTTCACATAATCACACAGAAACCACACAATGAATGTACACTATTGAAAAGAACACCTGATATTTTCTTTTCGTTCTTATCAGATCATGACAGATTGACTAAAGTTATGATAAAAATCATGTGGATTTCACATTTATTTTAGTAGTAAATGCAAAATTCCTCCTACGCCTGTTTAAGTATAATGGGAATTCTCCAAACAAAACATTTAATAATAACTGCTCTTGACAGAAGAAAATATGGAACTGAATTGCTAATAAGATAAACCACAGACAGTAAAATAGAAATTTCAGTCGTGAAATTCAATTGACACTGAAGTACCACCTTTGTTCCTTTTTGTCAATCAGCTTCACGACATTGACCAATTATTCCTTTAGTCAAGGAAATAAGTTTCTTGGAAGATCCTTTGAACTTAATCGGGCTGCATCTCCTTTATCATCAATTACTTCACAGTCTGGTGACATGTGCTACTTTTCACACCTTTTTCATAAAGAGTTACATCACAGGGAGATAACTCCAAACTTCCATGTCAGCCTGATGCAGTCAGAGCCAGGTAATCTTATACTAACATTACAAAAATAAACACATTATGGGATGTTTGTAATTATCAGGATGGTTCAGTTTGGCCTCCAGTAACTTTAAGATGAAAGTGGTGTCATGTAGTGTTTTTGGCTGTTGGATAATTGGTGAGTTTATTTGGTCAAGAGTTTGAGTTTATTCATTCATCACCAACTTGGATTCTGACTCTGCCATCAGTTTTAAGGTGACTCTTTCTTTTTGGGCGAGATGTATTTATGGATTTAATTTTATTTGTATATTTTGGAGAATAAGAAGGCATTCCTTCATAATATGCCATGTTTTGAGAAAAAAATATGGGGAACACTAATAGAAGTAAATATCAGAATTATTGTGTGTTATGGGTGACCTGGATGTCACTTTCCCATACACGGTTACCTCCCTTTGTAGTAACAGGATCTACTTATCAGAGTTTAAGTCCCATGTTCATCGCAGAGATCAACAAAATTGCATATGTTAATGCCATGCTAGGACTTTCTTCTACTATGAAGCTGACATGTTTGATATTAAACAAGTCCATGTCAAATCCTAATGGTAAATTTTACAATGTTTGATATTAACCCCAAATCAGTATTAACCCTAAATCAGTATTTCTAACACTGACATCAAACATCAATCAGAACACACATTAAATGATATTTGAATTGTTAAGACAAAGATTTTGGAGATTTACGCTTAGGATGGAGATTTAAGGTTTTCATGGATTTCGATGAAATTGAAAACTAACACCATTTTTGTCTGAATCCCCTTGGCTGTACCATGATCAGGAGCTTGAGTCAAATCAGTAAATGGCCAGGGACTACATTATTATCCATCCCAATAAGGTCAAAGTAATTCTGATGTAACGAAAATGTAAATGCGACAGATTGTTGTTGATGTTGTGAGCTCTTCGTCTTTCCTCGCGGAGTCTATTTCTGTCTCTCAAGCTGAAGAGTGGTAGACACTTTCTGCGCTTGATGTCAAGGGCCTATTGTGGAGACATTTCACAGATTTCAAGTTGATGGCCATGCTGATATTCTCTTCCCTTATCAGACATTTAATGCATTGTGCACAAGCTTTTGTCACAAACGCACTGGACACCTTGGTCCATTTAATATAGTCCTCCATTTGCGTCTTCTCCAAAAGTGATATAAATTAGAAAACCTCACATCTTGACATTCTTTGTAAATGTTGGAAGTTCAAATGATCATGATTTCATTTCCAAATTGACATTCTGAATTATTCCTTTATCCTTTGCGCGAGTTCAATGAACAGAATAGGGAATAATATCACTTTTGTAGAGCTATCCTCATGGAAACAAATAAGGGAACACATGAAATTATAAGTGTTCCTTTATTCTGTTCCAGGTTTCTTCACAAGGTATGTATTGCACTGTGAGTAAAATTCTGGAAATAAAGGAACACTTGTACTTTCATGTGTTCCCTTATTCGTTTCTGTGAGGATGTGAATATTAGTAATGTTGATGAAGTATTTCTGTGTAATTGTCAGGAGGCTAGGTTGATAAACCACATGAAATGATGTAACAATATGACAATTCCAATCAAGGAGAATGGGTTATTTTGGTTTCATTATGCTCTACAGATACCTAAACTGAAGCGTTACATGAATCCGATATCTATCAGCTTTTTGAGGCAGCTAATTAGTTGTGACATTAAGCATCTACGTCCATGACACGTCTCTGTGATCACTGATTTACCAGGTGACACCCATGCGAAATTCATGCTTACGGCATAACTGTCATCGCAACTTGGTATTTAATTCTTCGGAAAGAGTCAATCAATAAAGATCAATGTGGCACCCATGACATCTGTGAAGGACAGCGAGGAATATAAGCTGCAGGAAACTTGACATTTACAGAAGTCAGAAAAATTATTTTTAGCAATGTTGACAAAGCCTTGATATTCACATATTTCTTTTGATAATGATTTAGTTGTGTTTCTTTGAACATAGACCATAAGAATTAATTAGTATTTGGCAGAGTAATGCATGTTGATTTCCTTTTAGGGTATAACAGTAGATCGTCCATAAGAGGAAATGTCATGCTAAAGAGCATTCTTTGAGTCCAGATGCAACACTTATTCTTGATGGTAATCTGTGGGTGTTTGTTGACCAAACTTGAGCTGTTGTTGACAAAATCCTGCTGGGTTCAATGTGAAGTCAATTCTTGTGTTAAATCATGGAGCCCACTTTTCATATTTGAATGTTAAATGTTTTCTTGGCAGGAAAATGTCAATAATTTTCTAGGTGTTCAAAGGGGTGGGTAGCACAGTGGTTAAGGCGTTCACTCATCACGCCGAAGACCCAGGTTTAATTCCCCACTTGGGTACATTGTGTGAAGCCCATTTCTGGTGTCCTCGACTGTGATATTGCTTGAATATTGCTAAAAGCGGTGTAAAACCCAACTCACTCAGTGAGTAGGTTTTCAAATGTTGTTTTTTGCTGTTCTGTCGTATAAGTGTCTCAGTGTTCAGAATATAAAGTCTATGTATACTTGGTGTTCAAATGTGAGGTGTTTAGTTGGTGTTCAAATTGAAAAACGTTGTGAGGAGTTGCGGTGTAAAAATCACTCTTTATAACTAAATGTGAAACCTCTTTGTAGTGTAGAAATTAGAACTTTTCAGTAACCCATGCTTGTCGTAAGAGGCAGCTAACGGGTTCGGATGGTCAGGCTCGCTGACTTGGTTGACACACTCGATTATTTACAGACCACTGCCGCCATATAGCTGGAATATTGCTGAGTGCAGCGTTAAACAACCAACCAACTTGATTGTTAGTGTGCACATTTGTGAGTGAGTGAGTGAGTTTAGTTTTACGCCGCACTCAGCAATATTCCAGCTATATGGCGGCAGTCTGAAATAATCGAGTCTGGACCAGAAAATCCAGTGATCAAATAACATGAACATCAATCTGCGCAATTGGGATACGATGATATGTATCAACCAAGTCAGCGAGCCTGACCACCCGATCCCGTTGTCGCCTCTTACGACAAGCATGTGTTACTGAAGGCCAGTATTCTAACCCGGACCTTAACGGGTATGTAAGTATATGAAAAGATCCACATTAACAGATTTTAAACACATTTAAACATGCAGCTCCATTGACGACACAACACGACTGAGTGAGTTTAGTTTTATGCCACTTTTAGCAATATTCTATCAATGTCACAGTGGGGGACACAAATCTTGTACCCCTGTGGGGAATCGAACCTGGGTCTTAACCTGAGGAGTTAAAACTTTAACCACTAGACAACCCCACTGCAGTAAAACCTGAATAAGGTGGAAAATAAGTGCAGCGCAAACAACAAACAAATATATGCAGCCATGATGTATTGCTGCCAGAGTATTGAATGCATGAAACAACATTCACTCACACCGTTTTGAAAGGTCAAGATAGCGTTGTTAGGTAGAGGGCTTTTTAAACGACTTATCGTGATTTTGATTGTTTATTTGCTAATGGATTCAATTCTTTTATAGAGATTCATAGCTCACTTAATCTTCTTCCATGCCATGTTGCTACTTGAAAGTTGTAAAAATGGGGATTCAATAATTCTGTGCTCCCTAGGATTGTTAGAACAAGATTTATATGCTGTCCCTTGAAGGGGGTCGCTGGCTTTGATCTGAAGTCCTCATAGCGCCTTGTGTGAAATCTTTGTTGCTTAACTAATGAATTGAGAATTTTTTTCAAACATGTATTGCAAGAGTTGAGGGTTGGAAAAGTATTTTTTCTCTAACAGAGAATTATACCACAGTTCCACAAGCTGATGATGCTATATTGACAATAAATCCGATCCCTCGTCTTGTTGGAAGACAGTAGATAGGCTTTCTGTCTGTGATTGGTGATACTGTAAGATGAAGAAAGTTCAGTCAATACATAAACATCAGCCATGTTACTGATCAGCAGAAACTGGTGCAGTCGGAAAGGAATTCAACTTTCACTCACTCACTCACTCATTCACTCACTCAAGCACCCACCAACCCACCATCCCAATCACTTTCACTCTCACTCAGTCTTTCTCACAC